ATGTAAAGTCAAGCAAAGTTCCCATTCGAAACCTGATGGTCTATGTGGCACGTGAAGTAGAGTTCACCTGTTTCTGTGACTTAGGCATATGACATGTTAATATTCATTATTTTATAGGCTACACTTTATATCGGTTGAGTGGTAGGCCATCTGTTCAGAACAACTCAGTTGTGAGGGGAGGGGGGGACTGGTCAGATATATTCGTTAATGAGGGGGCTGGTCAGATATATTCGTTAATGAGGGGACTGGTCAGATATATTCGTTAATGAGGGGACTGGTCAGATATATTCGTTAATGAGGGACTGGTCAGATATATTCGTTAATGAGGGGACTGGTCAGATATATTCGTTAATGAGGGGACTGGTCAGATATATTCGTCAATGAGGGGACTGGTCAGATATATTCGTTAATGAGGGGACTGGTCAAATATATTCGTTAATGAGGGGACTGGTCAGATATATTCGTTAATGAGGGGACTGGTCAGATATATTCGTTAATGAGGGGACTGGTCAGATATATTCGTTAATGAGGGGACTGGTCAGATATATTCGTTAATGAGGGGACTGGTCAGATATATTCGTTAATGAGGGGACTGGTCAGATATATTCGTTAATGAGGGGACTGGTCAGATATATTCGTTAATGAAGGGACTGGTCAGATATATTCGTTAATGATGGGACTGGTCAGATATATTCTATGTTACCATGTTTACCAACTTTATATTTTTAGAATGCCCTGTATATGGTACCACGTTCACCAACTTTATGTTTTTAGAATGCCCTGTCTATGGTTCCATGTTCATCAACTTTATGTTTTCAGAATGCCCTGTCTATGGTTCCATGTTCACCAACTTTATGTTTTCAGAATGCCCTGTCTATGGTACCATGATGACAATGCCACCAACTTTATGTTTTCAGAATGCCCTGTCTATGGTTCCATGTCCACCAACTTTATGTTTTCAGAATGCCCAGTCTATGGTTCCATGTTCACCAACTTTATGTTTTCAGAATGCCCTGTATATGGTACCATGTATGCCCAGTCTATGGTACCACGTTCACCAACTTTATATTTTCAGAATGCCCTGTCTATGGTTCCATGTTCACCAACTTTATGTTTTCAGAATGCCCTGTCTATGGTTCCATGTTCACCAACTTTATGTTTTCAGAATGCCCTGTCTATGGTTCCATGTTCACCAACTTTATGTTTTCAAAATGCCCAGTCTATAGTACCATGTTCACCAACTTTATGTTTTCAGAATGCCCAGTCTATAGTACCATGTTCACCCACTTTATGTTTTCAGAATGCCCAGTCTATGGTTCCATGTTCACCAACTTTATGTTTTCAGAATGCCCAGTTTATGGTTCCATGTTCACCAACTTTATGTTTTCAGAATGCCCTGTCTATGGTTCCATGTTCACCAACTTTATGTTTTCAGAATGCCCTGTCTATGATACCATGTTGACAATGCCACCAACTTTATGTTTTCAGAATGCCCTGTCTATGGTTCCATGTCCACCAACTTTATGTTTTCAGAATGCCCAGTCTATGGTTCCATGTTCATCAACTTTATGTTTTCAGAATGCCCTGTATATGGTACCATGTATGCCCAGTCTATGGTACCATGTTCACCAACTTTATGTTTTCAGAATGCCCTTTATATGTTACCATGTTCACCAACTTTATGTTTTCAGAATGCCCTGTCTATGGTTCCATGTTCACCAACTTTATGTTTTCAGAATGCCCAGTCTATGGTTCCATGTTCACCAACTTTATGTTTTCAGAATGCCCAGTTTATGGTTCCATGTTCACCAACTTTATGTTTTCAGAATGCCCTGTCTATGGTTCCATGTTCACCAACTTTATGTTTTCAGAATGCCCAGTTTATGGTTCCATGTTCACCAACTTTATGTTTTCAGAATGCCCTGTCTATGGTTCCATGTTCATCAACTTTATGTTTTCAGAATGCCCAGTCTATGGTTCCATGTTCACCAACTTTATGTTTTCAGAATGCCCTGTCTATGGTTCCATGTTCATCAACTTTATGTTTTCAGAATGCCCAGTTTATGGTTCCATGTTCACCAAATTTATGTTTTCAGAATGCCCTGTCTATGGTTCCATGTTCACCAACTTTATGTTTTCAGAATGCCCTGTCTATGGTTCCATGTTCACCAACTTTATGTTTTCAGAATGCCCTGTCTATGGTACCATGATGACAATGCCACCAACTTTATGTTTTCAGAATGCCCTGTCTATGGTTCCATGTCCACCAACTTTATGTTTTCAGAATGCCCAGTCTATGGTACCATATCCACCAACTTTATGTTTTCAGAATGCCCTGTCTATGGTTCCATGTTCACCAACTTTATGTTTTCAGAATGCCCAGTCTATGGTACCATATCCACCAACTTTATGTTTTCAGAATGCCCTGTCTATGGTACCATATTGACAATGCCACCAACTTTATGTTTTCAGAATGCCCTGTCTATGGTACCATATTGACAATGCCACCAACTTTATGTTTTCAGAATGCCCTGTCTATGGTACCATATTGACAATGCCACCAACTTTATGTTTTCAGAATGCCCTGTCTATGGTACCATATTGACAATGCCACCAACTTTATGTTTTCAGAATGCCCTGTCTATGGTACCATATCCACCAACTTTATGTTTTCAGAATGCCCAGTCTATGGTACCATATCCACCAACTTTATGTTTTCAGAATGCCCTGTCTATGGTACCATATTGACAATGCCACCAACTTTATGTTTTCAGAATGCCCTGTCTATGGTACCATATTGACAATGCCACCAACTTTATGTTTTCAGAATGCCCTGTCTATGGTTCCATGTCCACCAACTTTATGTTTTCAGAATGCCCTGTCTATGGTACCATGTTCACCAACTTTATGTTTTCAGAATGCCCTGTCTATGGTACCATGTTCACCAACTTTATGTTTTCAGAATGCCCTGTCTATGGTACCATGTTCACCTTCTACCGACACTCGTACATAAAGAACAACAACCTGGTTGTCCTCAGCAGCGCCCCCTACCTGACGCCCCTGGGGTGCCTGCAGGCCTGCCTGAACGTCACTACCTTCACCTGCCGCTCCACAGAGTTGAACGAGGGCGTGGTCTGCACCCTGCAGTCAGTGACGCCCTCAGACGTCACACTCCTGGATTACATCCTTGACCTTGCTAATAACGTGGACTATTACCAGAGGCAGTGTGACTATACGGGGACTTAAGGGGTTAATTCTATTACCAGAGGCAGTGTAGTTATCGGGGTCTTAAGGGGTTAATTCTATTACCAGAGGCAGTGTATTTATATGGGGACTAAAGGGGTTAATTCTATTACCAGAGGCAGTGTAATTATCGGGGGTCTTAAGGGGTTAATCTGTTCAAATGTTTGACAATTGTGTGGATAATATTTTATCATTTAGCCACAAGTATAACATTACTTTAGGTGAGACACCCCTTATTCACAAATCACTAAAACATTAAAGCCACACTTCGCAACCCTTGCAGAAAGATGACACAAGACACTTTTGAACTTTATTTTTTAATGAAATTTAAATATTTCCTGCGTCACCTATATCTCATCCCATTTTCTTCGCCCAAAGTCACAAAAGTCACCCCCCCCCCCCTCCCTACACACTACTCCCTCCATCTTTCCTTAGAAGGACTCCTACAATATCTGGATTCATCAGTAAAAATAATGCATACAAAAAGTTTTAATAAAATATAACTTTTATGTAATAATGCGCTAAAGGAGAAAAAAAAATGATTTTCTTTAAATATATAATAATACAATAGTGTTTAAAAAACTGTAAAGAAAAGCGTGGGTCGCTTCTTAAATTTTAGTAAAGATATTCAAAAGTAATATCGTGACCAACGCTTTTCTTTATATTTATTTTAATAGTAGTGTATTATTATATATTTTAAAAAATTATTTATTTTCAATTTTTTTAGTGCATAATTATATTAAAGCTTGTTATTAAAACGTTTTTATACTTTTTTTAAAAAAATCAGTACTTACATTGTTTAATACAATTGGTTGTAACTAAAAACTATTTCGCACCAAATGAACATGAACAAATGCGTCGTGAATAGTACTTAATATAGGAAACTTTAATTAATTTATCAAAAATTAATTAGTCATCCGATTAAGACAAATTTGATGTCAGATTGCATTAACCTCGGATCTTGACCCACGTACCAAGTTTGAAATGAATCGGTCAGTTCGGAGTGATCGAAATTTCGCTCGGCAGTTTCGATCCAGGATGATACACAGATAGAAAAACAGAGTGAGCCAGTTAAATAAAAGCTTATAAAAACGATCTCTCGTCTTGGTGTTGATCAAAACACTTTGAGAACCCGTGCCCTAAACACACTCGGCAACCTTAGGATTTGATTTGGAAATTTAGTACGACAGCAGAAACGTGACAGTCAGTCAACCGTGAACCTAACCCCGGCAGTGGCGAACTCTAAACTCTGCTGGATGGCGGGCAAACTTGAGATGGTGCCACGTCTAAGACTCGGCTTCAGTGACGTCATTTAACTGTCACTCGCATGTTAAACCTGAGGAACCCGCGGAACCGCTTTTATGGGGTTAACATTTCAAACGTTATGTCCTTTAAGGCTGAGACGGTGGCTATTAAAGTTATAAGCATTGTAAATATTCCTAATATTATGTTCCTTAAGTCTGGGATTTGGGTGTTAAAGTTTTAAGCCCTGTGTACTTCAACTTTAAAAATGTGTGTCCTTAGATAAAAAAAAATTCATAAAAAAAAACGTTTGATAAAAAAACATCACACCTAAGGACTTCGCCCATAAAGACCACACATATAGGGTCGTCTCAGTCACACGTTGAATTCAGTCAGGGAATACATTCCAGCTCCCTCCCCCACCCACCTCACCACTCCTCCGACCCACCCACCCCCCCCCCCCCCCCCACACACACCCACCTCATAACAAGCAACTATAACATTTTAGTTTTATGACAAAATTTTTATTGAAATAACCATTTTATAAAAAAATGAAAAAAAAAAATTAAATGAAAAAATTAACGTGTATTTCTAATTGGTGGATAGTGTTAGAAATAAATCATCTTATTTAAAACTTGAACTACCAACTAAATACCAATTTTAAAGTTATAAATATGGATATCATTACAAGAAATTGATGTTTGTTTAGAGATTATGTTTGAAGAGCTCATTCTTGAGTATTGTGGGTTTCGTGGTGTGGAGTGGTTGATAGTTATGTTGGTGTATTGATTGTAAAGTTGATACTTATGTTGGTGTATTGATTATAATGTTGATAGTAATGTTGGTGTTTTGATTGCAATGTTGATAGTTATGTTGGTGTATTGATGGCAAAGTTGACAGTAATGTTGGTGTATTGATTATAATGTTGATAGTAATGTTGGTGTTTTGATTGCAATGTTGATAGTTATGTTGGTGTATTGATTGTAAAGTTGATAGTTATGTTGGTGTATTGATTGTAAAGTTGATAATTATGATTGGTTTATTGATTGTAAAATTGATAGTTATGTTGGTGTATTGATTGTAAAGTTGATAGTTATGTTGGCGTATTGATTGTAAAGTTGATAGTTATGTTGGCGTATTGATTGTAAAGTTGATAATTATGTTGGTGTATTGATTGTAAAGTTGACAGATGATGGTGAGGTGAGGTTGATCTATTTTTGGAAGTGTCAAACTGTAATTATGTTAAATTCTGTTAATGTGAATTTGTGGTGATGTTAGTTTGTGGCGACGTCAAAGTTGAGGTGATGTGTGAATTGATGGTGAAATTTTAGACACAACCGTTTTTTTTGTTGGTGATGGTGATCATGGTAAGCTATCACAAGATGAATGATGAAAAACATCGGTGACATATAGTGGTGACACACAATGGTGACACACAATGGTGACACACAATGGTGACACACAGTGGTGATACACAGTGGTGATACCAAATGATGGATGATACATCACGGTGACCTACTTGGTCAAGGCTACTAGGAAAACTAAGTTCTGAAAAACATTTTAAACTGCGGGAATAAAATCAGTAAAAAATACATTAACGTTTTTTTTTTTTTAAGTTTTTTTAAAGTTAATTTCTGGTACTGAATTCCCAGAACATAAATCTTCAAGTTCTGAATTTCCGATTGTTGAATTACCGTTGAACAAAATTTCCAATAAAGAAGTTCTGAAAAATCGATTCTTGAAATTTGACTTTCCCAGCATTAAATTTCGGAAATTTGAATCCTTTCGAATTCTTAAATAATGAGGAGAAAAGAATTCCAAATATTGAATTCCAGAAAACGTGAAATTTTCCGTTTCCCCCATCAACAGACATGGTAGTTGAAAGAAAAATAAATTTGTAATAAATAATATACGTATAGTAAACATATTTAAACATTGATCACATCGGCTACCTAACAATGGGCCTCAGCATGGGAAATGAGAAGAATCCTTTACCATTTCACCCAAGGTCACTGTCTCACAGGTCAATGATCCCAGCAGACAGAAAATTGCACTGAAAGCTGACTAGTACTGGACTAACCTGCTTGTTTAAAATAAGTGCCAACTTATTGCCAACTGACAAATGTCACCTTAATCGTAACTGACAAATGCCACCTTAATTTTAACTGACAAATGTCACCTTAATTCTAACTGACAAATGTCACACCTGGAAAACTTTTGTCCACGTCTATGAGGGCCAAGAGTTGAGAGCAAACTCACAAATGTCACCTAACAAATGTCATCTAAATGTCATCTGACAAATGTCATCTTACATACCACATGGTATATATGACCAAACTTAAACCCGCATAACATCATGCAAATACCATTTTTCTAATACATAATATAACAAACACATTGGATATTTTAAAAATACTACTTGGAGGTGTGTCAATATCCGCAATCTGTCCTTAAACTTTGCATTTGCATACATGAGAAAAACACATCATAATTAATCAACATAATAAATAAAAGATGTAATTAAAATTCTGATTGTCCTGCACTGATCACCACATTAAGAACGTCCAGACTCGGGAACCGCTGCACAACTAGCGAACAACGATTCAAGGGAGGTCATCCAGTCGGCCAAGAAACCTCATGAATTTCATCAGCTACTTCCCCTAGACCATTAAAAGCACGGCAGTCAGAGCTTTACTCCATAGATGTCTAGAACTGACCTCTGAACTCCATGACCCCTGACTGTCGCTTAACTTTTAAACCACTGAAACTACCAACACATTTTTTTGACATTATGGGCTGGGCGCGGAACATTTGAAGTGAGAGTATATTTATGGTCATTAATTATCTGGACATTCATTATCTGGACATTCATTATCTGGAAATTCATCCTAACGACATCCAACTGGCTCCACTTAAAATCCAAGGGAAATAATCTTCACAAAATTATCCAAAAGTCACTCTTTATAAAACATTCGTTTCTGTATTAGCAACTTCTCTGTATCTTTTCGCTGACTAGAACTTTATTTGTGCAGGGGAGGTAAATCAAATAATATTTTTACTCGGCAGTTTTTTCAAAAGTTGTCTTTCTTGAAATAAACCGGAAAGGTTTCGATTCTACCATTGTTCCAAGAATGAATCTCCGACTTCCGATAGTCGTAATTTAGCATGACGGTGTAGGAAGATTTGTGCGCCTCGGGGGATGTGTTGGTACCAATAAGTGCGCTGTTCGGGAAAGGCAGTTCCCCCTTATCCAGAAACCGTTCCTTGTTGGTCTGCGTGTTGTAGGTGTACTTGATGTAGGTGGGGACGTCGCGGTGGGAGTTGGTGGCGTACAAGGTCTCGCAGATCATGAAGGCGTTGCCGATGTGCGCCTTGGAGTAGCCGGTCATCCAGGTGGAGATGATGCTCATGTCCTTGTGGTCGATTTTTGAGATGACCATTTTCCCGGCTGATTCTTCCGTGGCGTAGATGGCCCAGAGACCTGGATGGTGGAGGGAGATGGTGGAGTTAGGTGGAGGGAGATGGTGGAAGGAGATGGTGGAGGGAGATGGTGGAGTTACATAGAGATAGATGGCGGAGTTAGGTGGAGGGAGATGTTGGAGTTGGGTGGAGGGAGATGGTGGAGTTACATAGAGATAGATGGCGGAGTTAGGTGGAGGGAGATGTTGGAGTTGGGTGGAGGGAGATGGTGGAGGGAGATGGTGGAGTTAGGTGGAGGGAGATGTTGGAGTTGGGTGGAGGGAGATGGTGGAGGGAGATGGTGGAGGGAGATGGTGGAGTTACATAGAGATAGATGGCGGAGTTAGGTGGAGGGAGATGGTGGAGTTAGGTGGAGAAGTTTCGGTGGAAAAAGAGGACAGAGAAATATGATTTTGTTGGGAAAGAATTGAGATCTCCAATCAAAATGGAGTAAATAAAAATACCTTTAATAGTGAGGCATATTTCAAATATAGTTATAAGGGAAAAAATGTTTAGAATCTAGATACATGATACTAAGGTAGGGAAGAACTTCCAAAGAAGAGGACAATAGAACCATACAACAACCACACAACTACTACATAACTACCACAACAACCTTACAACTACCAGGCAACTACATTACAACTACCAGACAACTACCACACAACTACCAGACAACTACCACACAACTACCTTACAACTACCAGAGAACTACCACATAAATACCTTACAACTTCTACATAACTACCTCACAACTACATTACAACTACCTTACAACTACCTTACAACTACCAACCTCTCTCGTCCACAGCCAGATCAATGTCCGTGTTTTCTCCGGACATGTACGGATACTTGTTGCCGTACACGGCTCCGGTCAAGGTCATCTCCGACACGATGTCCATCTTCCTCAGGTGGTACTTGACAATCCTATTGGTGTCTGCTCGCTGGCAGAAGAAATGTTTCCTGGGGGGATTAGTGGAGACGTTAGCTGGGTTAATCCGTCTGGGGATTAGTGGAGACGTTAGCTGGGATAATCTATCTGGGGGGGGGGAGGGGATTAGGGCAGCCGTTAGCTTGGATAATCTGTCGAGGGGATTAGAGCAGCCGTTTGCTGGGTGTGGGATAATCTGTCTTGGGGATTAGGGCTACCGTTAACTGGGATAACCTGTGGGATTAGTGCAACCGTTAGCTGGGTGTGGGATAATCTGTTTCGGAAGATTAGGGTAGCAGTTAGCTGGGATAATCTGTCTGGGGGGATTAGTGCAGCCGTTAGCTGGGATAATCTGTCTGGGAGATTAGTGCAACCGTTAGCTGGGTGTGGGATAATCTGTTTGGGGGATTAGTGCAGCCGTTAGCTGTGTGTGGGATAATCTGTTTGGGGATTAGTGCAGCCGTTAGCTGGGATAATCTGTTTGGGGATTAGTGCAGCCGTTAGCTGGGATAATCTGTCTGGGAGATTAGTGCAGCCGTTAGCTGGGTGTGGGATAATCTGTTTGGAGGATTAGTGCAGCCGTTAGCTGTGTGTGGGATAATCTGTTTGGGGATTAGTGCAGCCGTTAGCTGGGATAATCTGTTTGGGGATTAGTGCAGCCGTTAGCTGGGATAATCTGTCTGGGAGATTAGTGCAGCCGTTAGCTGGGTGTGGGATAATCTGTTTGGGGGATTAGTGCAGCCGTTAGCTGGGTGTGGGATAATCTGTTTGGGGGATTAGTGCAGCCGTTAGCTGGGATAATCTGTCTGGGAGATTAGTGCAGCCGTTAGCTGGGTGTGGGATAATCTGTTTGGGGGATTAGTGCAGCCGTTAGCTGTGTGTGGGATAATCTGTTTGGGGATTAGTGCAGCTGTTAGCTGGGTTAATCTGTCTGGGAGATTAGTGCAGCCGTTAGCTGGGTTAATCTGTCTGGGAGATTAGTGCAGCCGTTAGCTGGGATAATCTGTCTGGGAGATTAGTGCAGCCGTTAGCTGGGTGTGGGATAATCTGTTTGGGGGATTAGTGCAGCCGTTAGCTGTGTGTGGGATAATCTGTTTGGGGATTAGTGCAGCCGTTAGCTGGGATAATCTGTCTGGGGGATTAGTGCAGCCGTTAGCTGGGTGTGGGATAATCTGTTTGGGGGATTAGTGCAGCCGTTAGCTGTGTGGGATAATCTGTTTGGGGATTAGTGCAGCCGTTAGCTGGGATAATCTGTCTGTCTAGGTCAGTGTAAACGTTAACTGGGATAGAGCTACTGTTAGCTGAGTGGGATAATCTGCCTCACCTTTATACACTTGTATTAAAGCACTTTTCCCATATGTAAACACAAGTTTTCCCGCGTGTACACAATTGACTCACCAGTTTTACTTGTACAGAACAGTAACACCTGCACACAATAGACTCACCGGTACATAACTGACTCACCTCCCCCCCCACCGTACACTCACCTGTCCCCCCCCCCCCACCGTACACTCACCTGTCCCCCCCCCCCCCACCGTACACTCACCTGCCCCCCCCCGCACCGTACACTCACCTGTCTTTCCCCCCCCCCCCCACCGTACACTCACCTGTCTTTCCCCCCCCCCCCACCGTACACTCACCTGTCTTTCCCCCCCCCCCCCCACCGTACACTCACCTGTCTCCCCCCCCCCCTGTACACTCACCTGAGCACAGCATGCCCCGTCCCGGCACAGTCAAACGGCAGAGCGAAGTGGCGCTGCATGGATCCGAACCTCATCAACGTGTCGAACGAATCGAACTCCAGCAGACTATCCGACCGGCCCGCCCCCTTCATGACGTAGACCGGCCCGTCCTCATCGGTACTGGCTGGGTCCACCATGTAGGCCCCGTGGGTCGTGTCAGCGCTGACGTAATGCCCGGCCCCAATGGCCGACACCGTTTTAGGACAGTCTGGAGAGATTTTAAACATGTGAGGGGGAGTGCTAGTGTGTGTGGGGGTTTGGGTGTGTGTGTGCGTGTGCAAGTGTGTGTGTGTGTGTGTGTGAGTGGGGGCGGGGAAGATCTTCTTTTACGATTCAAGGCTTTGATGGATTTTGAGCTGCCTTCGATTAGAATGAGGAGAATGGGGGAGGGGTTAAAATGTTTGACCTTAAGTGACCTTTGTGTTAGACTTGAGTTCCTCTGCATCAAGGCCAAATTTCGACTAAAATGGACAGGAAACCACACTGAAAATCAACATTTTGTCAACCCGGCATTTGTCAACCCGGCAACGAGCAACCCGTCTATGCAACAACAGGACAACGACAACCTCAGCGAATTGTCGAAGCGGTGAAGCTTGTGTACAAAAAAAAAATTCAATTGAAAACAAAATTTCTGAATTATTTAATTCTTTTTAAAGCTCTCATGGTTATTTTATGACGATACATTAAAAATAAACGTTGCGACTTTAAAATGGCGTCTTACATGGAACCACGATAACAAATGCAGGACTATGCTTGAATGGCTAAGATGTATGTAAGCCATATCGTCTTTATCAAAATGCAATAATTAAATTTAAATGCTTAGGGCCTAATCATAATATTTAAAAATAACGAATTTTAGTTTTTCGTCGAAAAAGAGGTAGCCTACAAGAATGGCTTTTCTCGTTATGGATTTAATCTCTCTAACACGTTTTAGAATATGTTAATTCATGTTAATGTTGTTGTTTTTTTTTTTGGGGGGGGGGGGGGGAGTTGTCCCAGCTTGCACTAGTCCAGTCACCTTGCGACCTTCAACTATGACATCAACTAACACTTCCGGTCATCTGATTTTAACCCTAACCCTCTGCCATTACAACTTGATGAAAATAAAATATTCATAAATTATCTAAATCGTATTTATAACGTAGACTCAGATAAAAATTCTACCTCAGTCACGGCAAACACAAATAAGGACCACACAAATTTTATTTGGTTAAAAAAAAACCCATCAAAATGTAGGTGACGTTTATTACGCGTTTCGCAAGTAAAAGGGAGTCAACCGGGATAAACTAAGCTAAATATAACAATAATTGAGTTACCTACTCTTTTTATCGTCCCCTTTCGTTTTATTTCGTTTCTTCAAATCTTTCACCATCTTGCGTACACTCAGGACGGTAGAACTGACGTCGGCTATCTGCGAGCGAGAGTGGTGGAGGGGGGGGGGGGGCGGGAGGTCGAAGATGAATCACAGATAGATAAAATCAAAAACATTCAACAAAACGAGAAAAAGAAATTTAAAAAAGCGAATGCTGTACGTCTGCCAACTCCGCCTAGGGTGAATTCGTTCCCAGATAATTTCGTCGTCTGCGTGAATTTTCTTCGTTTTTAAAATACGCCCGTCTCGACTGAATCTGTTTTATTTATCTTTTAATTGATTCGTTGTTTGGTTGTCTCCCTTTAGCTTGGTTATTGCCCTTTGATTTAAACACCAAAAATAGATCCGCCTCTACGGGTTTACATTAGATTGTCGTTGTTGAGTCTATTAAGGTGATTGATGAAAGACTTTTTCAATACAAATTTTAATTTAGTTCAAAACAGCTGAAATTTTATTCAACTAGTTTTAATAAAATATTTTTCTCTTTTGAAAAAAAAAAGAAATAACTTCACAATAATAAATCAAAACTATGATCTCACAAAAATAAAATGATCGCAGACAAAAAAAGTTTGGCTTATCTCCCTCACCTGTTCGAGGGTTGAGTTATAGGCCCTGATGGCGCTCTGTATGCCGATGGATGTGGCGTCTACCATTGTAATGAGGGTCGACACCAACCTCTCCAGCTCGTAGTTTCTGGCCAGCAGGGCGCTGCGCATAAAGTTGTACTGGTTGGTCATGGCCGCCACTATCCCTTGTTTTAGATCTGGGGATTAACGGATTTTGTTAATCTGGGGGATTAACGTGTTTTTGGTACTTTTGGGGGAGTAGTATATTTTTTAGTACAAGGGGATTAACAATAGGGCTGGTAAGTAGGTCACAAACAGTTCTATGGCTCAATAAAAACTGCATGAGCCATAGAACTGGTTGGTGACCTACTTACAAGCCCTATTCTTGTTTATATTGTAGGATTAACGAATTTTTGTGGTATTAATATATTTTTGGTACAATCGACCTCAATTCCTTGTTTCAGATTTGGGGATTAAATTATTATATTAATCTGGGGGATTCACGATTTTTTAAAAGAAATTTTAGGGTGTAACATTTTTCTTAGTACAAGAGGATTAACAAGTCTTGTTCACTTGTAGGATTAACGATTTTTTTGTGGATTTAGGGGAATAACACATTTTTGGTACATTCGGCCGCAACCTCTCACCTCAGGTCTGGGGATTAAAACGAGTCTTGTAAATCTAAGGGAATTACGATTTTTGTTTAGTTTTTTGGGGAGTAACATATTTTTCTAGTACAACCGGCTTAACAACTCTCGTTAATTAAGTTTGTAGGATTAACGACTTTTTTTTAATATTTGGGGATTAACATATTTAACGAGTCTTGTTAATCTGGGGGATTAACGTTTTTTTGGTAGTTTTGGGGAGTAAAATATTTTTTAGTATAAGAGGATCAACGAGTCTTGTTAGGTTAGTTTGGAGGATTAACCTATGCTGGTTGTTTTGAGGGATTAATAAGTGTTGACAGAGCTGCAGGAATAAAGGGATTAACGAGCTTGGCAGTTTCGTTTTGCAGATTATATAGCTGTGTTGGTGCTTGTGGATTAAGTGGGATTATCGAGTTTTGTTACTGCTTGGGGATTAACACGTTTTATTGGACTTGGGAGATTAGCATGTTTAATTAATTATATCAGCGGAATTTTTTTTAGATTAAATAGTCTTGTTATTTCTGGGGGACAAGCGAGACTTGTGTGTTGGTTATATGGATTATCTATCAGTCTTTTTGCTTGGAGATTAAAGGGGATTAAGGAGCCTTGTTAGTGTTCGTTCTGCAACTAATTAAAAACTACGGCTAAGTGACATGTGACATGTTGACACTGACAGATCAGGTAGCGATATGACAGGCGTGGAGAATGAAAAAATGTGTTTATCGATTAGAAAACCAACTCGATCGGACAATATTGGGCTTTAAGTGTTGGACTGAATATATCAGTGTGGGAAAACAATTAGTGTTAGAACGTTGCCGAGTTTAGCATGGTTTTGTGATGTTGGTTTTTTACCATATAGAGTTTTTTAGAGGAATATAATTCCACAGTTTATAGGTTTTTAGACCCTTTAAGGCGAATATTAGGTAATGTGATTAAATACAATTTTAAGAAGTGTTTGCGGATTTTAAAATTGAGTATGATAGTAACACAGTTTTTGAGTATTAATTAGACAATTTTTCGTATATGTTAATGTATTTTAAAAGTCTAATTAAAAAGATTAATTAGGGAATGTTTCTAGTAGGTTAATTAAGAAATATTTCTGATAGCTTAATTAAATTCTGTTTATTCAAGGCTAATTAAGAACTGTTTCATCTAGGTGAATTAAGAAATGTTTCACATAGGTTAATTAAGAAATATGTCTGGTCCTTTAATTAAGAAATATTTGTTTAATTAAGAAATGTTTCTTTTAGATTAAATTTAGAAATGTTTCCAGAAGGTTAATTAGCTATCGTTTTTGGTATGTTAATTAATAAATGTTCCTGGTAAGTTAATCAATAATAAAAGTCTTGTCCTAAAGCCTAGTTAGCTTAGAGTAATGCAAACGATATTACTCCTCGCAATTTGACACCTATCCCACGCTCTATCCCTCACAGGATGTTAAAATGAAATCCAGCCAATATTGACTTTAAAATCTAACAGGTTGAAAAAAATTATACAAAATTATTTAAACAAATATTGACTTTCAATTAAATCCGTTTAAAAAATGTATAAATTTATGAGCTAAAATATTGACATGGAATAAAACACGAGTTTTGAAAAAAAAAAAACACTTGAAACCACAGCAGACGAGCACATCCAACTGGGAAATCAATTTCAACTTCCGGCGTTGAATCACGTGATGATGAGCACGCAAAAGACCCCCCCCCCCCCCACACACACACCCTCTTTCCACAAACACACATTTAGTGTTTATTTGAGGCTCGAATATGTTTTATCAACCTTTCTACGGTAAGCAAGACCTAGTGAGGTATAACGAGATTTCGGCGAGATTTTATGAGATTTGGCGCGATTGAAACCCACCAGTACAAATTAAAGTACAAACGAAACTAGAAGTGTACTAGTAGCTCAGTCAAGTCTGCGCTGAGAGTTCTTCCAATAAAAAACAAACAAACTTGAAGCAGACGATGATCTCGATACTTAATTAAAAATGGCTGCGCGTTGCAAATTCCAGAATCTTTCTATCTCTGCTCCTGTTGACTTCATTTGTCGATCTTTCATCCAATCCCATTGTGAATATTAAATTCTGCCGGACCCTAAACACCCATCCCATGAAACAAAACACCCCCCTCCTCTCGTCCTGTATATTGACAACCCCCAAATTGTAAAAATAAAGGCAGACGGCACAAAACAAATGCGAGTTGTTCGGCCATTTTTTCATCAGATCGATCGATGGGTTGCATAATCATTCATCGCTAGGGGAGCCGGTCCAGCTACAGCCGTAAACTGCTGACCGCAGCCGTAGACTAGTGGCCGCAGCCGTAGGCTAATACCTACAGCCGTAGCCTAAGACATACAGCCGTAGGCTAATGCCTGCAGCCGTCGACTGATGTCAACAGCCGTATACTGACGCCAAGAGCCGTAGACTGACGCCAACAACCCAACTAAACTGACGCCAACAGCCCAACAGCCGTAGACTGACGCCAACAACCCAACTAGACTGACGCCAACAGCCCAACTAGACTGACGCCAACAGCAAAACAGCCGTAGACTGACGCCAACAACCCAACTAGACTGACGCCAACAGCACAACAGCCATAGACTAACGCCAACAACCCAACTAGACTGACGCCAACAGCAAAACAGCCGTAGACTGACGCCAACAGCCCAACTAAACTGACGCCAACAGCAAAACAGCCGTAGACTGACGCCAACAACCCAACTAGACTGACGCCAACAGCACAACAGCCATAGACTAACACCAACAACCCAACTAGACTGACGCCAACAGCAAAACAGCCGTAGACTGACGCCAACAGCCCAACTAAACTGACGCCAACAGCACAACAGCCGTAGACTGACGCAAACAACCCAACTAAACTGACGCCAACAGCACAACAGCCGTAGACTGACGCAAACAACCCAACTAGATTGACGCCAACAGCCCAAAAGCCGTATATCTTCTCTAAAATCCCCAGGACAAGAAAGCACTCTGTCCTCTAATAAATATTCGTGGGTTTTTGTGTCGGCTCTTTTTCTTTCGATTTGTTTAAATTAAATTTAAATCAGAGCCTATGCTGTGCTTGTGTTATTCTATTGCTAAGGAATTTTCGCTTTTCGTCTAAAGCCTTTCGTCCATGTCTTGGCATTCAAAGAATCTTCTAGTTCGTTTTCTGCCATTCCGTCTGTATGTCACTCCGTACACTCAGTGTTTTGTATCGGGTTCCCAAACACCAGTGAGAGGTACCAAGTACTACCAACTAAACGGGAAGAGGTACCCAAAATGAAGAAATAGGTATCCAAATGAAAAGGGTACCCAGACAGCAAGAAATGGTACCCATTCAGCAGAATGGAGTACTCATTCCTGATCAGTTTCCTGCAATAGTCTCTCACAGACTGCACAGGATTTGTTCCTTGCAGGTTCTAGACATGACGTCACGCCTAAATAACTGGACTTACGTCTGACCGATTCCCCCCCCCCTCCCATACCTCCCTATCTCTTGTTCTAAGGCCTATATTGTCACATGTCATAAAAAAACATATACCCCCTTCGATGAAACTACGTCATAGTCCACTACTCCAAATTTACACTAAACACATATCTTAATGTAATATCGAAATTATATCAAAATTATATATAAATTATATGAAAACAATTTTTAATTTTTTTTTAAAGAAATCAAATTAGTTTTTAATAGACAAACCATACACAATCACTGCCTAAATCCCACCCCCACCCCAAACCCTTTATAGCATATTATTCATCTACCTCCTTTATCAAATAGTGTGATGTCATTTAAGAATAAATAAAACATTTTAAAATGTGATGAAATATGGATGAAATGTGGATGAAATGTGGTAAATGTGGTTATCTTTAGGTTAGATGGCCTCACGAACGTGGTGAATATGCTGTTTTTAGTCGATATAGCTTTTTTTTGGGGGGGGGGGGGGGGGGATTAGGGAGAGGGGGGGGTAACAAACTGACCACATGTTTTTTATCGTGTTCTGTACGAATTCTTTTGTAATGAGGCTAACGTTTAACATCTACTCCTAACTTGAACACATCTAGAATGTATCCCCCCATCACACACACCTCCCCCCCTCCTCCACACACGCCCCAGCCATTCATTAATGTTACATTGGTGTCACCGGGCTCGTCAGGGGCAATCGATTAATCTCTTGTAGTCGTCACACAGCGATCAACTCCCCTTGGCATTTGTACCTATAGTACCCCCCCCCCCCCTCCTTAACCATTCCTACCTATAGTCACCTCCCTTTGCCCTTTGTACCTATAGTCACCTCTCTTTGCCATTTGTACCTATAGTCACCTCCCTTTGCCATATGTACCTATAGTCACCTCCCTTTGCTCTTCGTACCTTTAGTTACCTCCCTTCACCAATGGTCGTCTCCCCTGATAACGGACTGTGGCACCAAACCATGAACTATTCACGACCAGCTTGGAAACAAGTCAGCATGTCCGGTGTTCTGTCGGCACTCACAGCATCCAAATGTCAGGTACTCTAGCAGTCTACCACAGCGTACAAATGTCAGGT